AGAATATTCTTTAAATACACTCTAATCTGAATATGTAAGCATTCATCAAATGTCCTGAGTAGCAGCACAGACAGTTAAGCACTTGGGTATTAACTGAAAGGTTGGCAGTTCGAATCTACACAGAGATGCCTCAGAAGAAATGTCTGGAAATCTGCTTCTGAAACATCACAGACTTATGTAACACAGTGCTCCTATGAAAACGCAGGGATAGCTGTGAGTCAGAATCAACTTGATGGCAACCAGCTGATTACAGATCCATCAATTAATTCTAGCCTCATCCCTTTGAACTAAATGAAACAAAGCCTAAATAATCAATGAAATAAATAACATAAAATAAATTTTTGAACAAGTTACATTTACAGTATTTTACCATCCATGTGAATAGTGGTAAAGTATGAATTTCATTCACTCTTCCATCTACCTGACCGATAAGAAAATCTGTTTAGTGACTGTTCATATTGGAGATTTTGAGGAAGTCCCTCTTATCTTATATTTTCCAAAAGATAATTTTCCTTCCTATAATCATTTTAAAAGTATTTCATATGGACTTTCATAGAAATTATGCCATAGGGGTTGTATGACGATACAACTTTTGAATTGGAAAATGTACAGTTATTTAGAGATAATCCTCCTGACTTTTATTTCACAGATTTGGAAAAAAAAAAAAAAAACAAAACACCTAGAGAGATTAAGTAGAAGAGGACTAAAATGAAGTGCCCACTAGAAATTTAGAAATGCAGATCATCAGAATTCTTGCTGAGCACTGGCATTTTAAATTATCACATAAGTGATCTGAGCAGATGTAAACAAAATTAATTTAGAACTAATAGCTAACAAATCATGATAAGAAAGAACGTATTAACCAATAGTAGAAAACTTTAGTGAGGCGTGTACAAGAGATAGCTGTATCCTTAGCAAAGGAATAGGTGTATCTTGTTCTAGGAAGAAAAAATGATATAATCAAGATGATTATTTTTAAAATAATTTATAAATTCATCATGATCTCATTTGAGATGATAGAAGTGCTTGTTGTTTATTTATTCCTTGACAAAACAATCTGAAGTTAACCTACAGAAATAACTGAGAAAAATGTGAGAAATAATTTGAAAATGCACAGAAAATAATGGTCTGGGACTGAGCTCACTCTTGTGGCTTTCAGCCAAACAGTAGACAGGAAAATAGGGTGAACATCCACATCAGGTAGATATACTCCTCACAGTGCTCAATTCTGGGAGAACAAAAGGGCAGTGTTTGCACAGGGAGATAGCTAGTGGGGGAGGAGTGTGTGGGAGGATAGGACTCAAGGAAGAGGTAAATACAGGGAAGAAATCAGAGGAGAGCAACTATAATGTGGGGAGTTGCAGTCAATGTCATGAAACAAAATGTGTATTAGCTGCTTTATGGAAAACGAATTTGTTTTGTAAAATTTAACCCAAATCACAATTTTTTTAAGTGGAAAAGTAGTCCTATTATATTTTAAAATATTTTAAAAAATTAGGATTAAAAAAAGGTAGCAATTTTTGCGGAAAATTCAATAAAATTCTCAATTTTCTCCTTTATTTAATATAAAATTCTAATTGCATAAATGAATTAAGTTTTAAAATATGAATTTCTTCTTTTGAATTCTTCTATTTAAATTTTGAAATATGAAGTCAAAGAGGTGGAAAGAAACACTCTGAGCAAAGGTATGCTTAGTACTTAAACTTTATGATATGATCTTAGCTTCTGTTTTCAAGATTACAGAATTAATTATAGGGTAACACTCTGGTAGCATAGTGGCTAAGGCACTTG